GGGTAACCGTTATCTCTTAGGACCTTTAGAACATGTTTCTCTCTCTACGTTTTGCCCGCTTGGCTGAGGGTATTTTTTCTGCCCTATCGAGTAAAGTATTAACTACAGACCGCTTGCGTTGTGGAGGGTGATTTGACGTGTAATCCAGGTATTTGTCCGTATGCGTCTTTATACGGTAAACATCAACCCTAATTTGACCATTTTGCCTAATTGTTACAGTATCCAAGAATGGTAATCTATTATTTTCTTCCGCTTCATTGGTGAATTGGATTTGCTTGTCTATTGAATTTAAATGCTGATGAAACTCCTCTACATATTTACGTTTTTGGCAAGCATGGCTATCATCAGCAAACCTGAACCACCAACGGGGTGGGTTGAGAGCAGTTGTTAAAGCAATTTCTTCTATGTGTTCCATAACGAGATTGGGTATACGGTGGCACTAATCGGAGATCCCATTGCGCAACCGGACGTTTGCTGATAATATTCATTTTTGTATGTAAAATAACTGTTCTTCAGCACAAATTAAACTCTAAAAGTTTTAATATGTTAGAGACTGGTATTTCTGTTCAGGTTGATAATACTCGGTCACTTTCAAGTTTGTCCCTAGTTATCTCTAAAGCTAAGTTGACAGGGATAGACGTAAACAAAGGTACGACATCAAATGAGACCATGACTTCATCAGTTGAGATAGACATGTCCTTTATGCATGCGTTTACTAAAGTCAGTGCTATTACGCACAGTATATCTCCCTTTAATTAGAGGTGATAAAACAATTACTAAGTGTTTTGAAAGATTGTACGTAGGAAATGAAATAGAGCTGGTAATCGGACAAAGCGGTATGGCTGGCTTATGGATCTTAGGTAAACCATAAAACGTTGCCGGTGATGCGCTTGAACTCTGTAAGTGGTCATAAAGTTTCTCATTGATCTGTGGTAAATTGTTATCGTTATCCGACCTTTCCGACTTAATATATTGTAGATATTTGTTAAGATCTTGTTCAACTTTGCTGGTAGGGTTTCTACGTCTATCTGTAATTCTTAAGTAAGTCTTTTTATCAAGTAATAAATCGCTCTCCCTTTGTTAGCTGGAACAATAGTAATATCTTTGTCTTTCTTCAAATTTCTTTAAGCATGACTTTGTTGTTTAGAAATGTTAGTTGTGCTTAACGCCTTAGTATTTTTTAAAGTATTAACGACAGATGGTCGTATAGTGGTTTTGCTTTCTTCACTTAAATGGTAAATGCCTGTTTCAATGCTGGCAATTATCTTCGGAACTGGAATACGTTTAGGTGTAATGGCATAATTCAAACCGTTTTCAAGTATCTGTGTTTCCTGTGTGTTCAGTTGTCTTGTAGATAAGTTAATTACCCATCTCGATTTATCAACATATGCTTCGGTATTTTTTATTACACCTAATGAATTAAGTTTTCGTTCATGCTTGGTCTTAATAGTATCTTTCATTTTGTCCGAGTTATACTTAACGACATCTTGGAAGTCTTTCAAATGTTCTGGCGATAAAATGTTTGATAAAATGTTTAAATTGTCGTGATACTCATCCTGTTTCCGTTTGATTTTGTGATGACTGTGTTGAATGCGGAGTCTCAGGAAGCTCCAACCCGCTTTTGACATTATATCTGTACCTTCTCTGGAAACAACCGGTTCGTAAATCGGAGACTTTTGGGTAATACCTTGGCGTTCTTTAACTCGTGGCTGAATGTGAAAGGATTTATTACTTTAGTATACGCATAAAGGACATGTCTATCTCAACTGATGAAGTCATGGTCTCATTTAATTTGATGTCGTATCTTTGTTTACGTCTATCCCTGTCAACTTAGCTTTAAAGATAATTAGGGACAAACTTGAAAGTGATCGAGTATTATCAACCAGAACAGAAATGTAAGTCTCTAACATTTTAAAACTTTTAGAGTTTGTGCTGAAGAACAGTTATTTTACATACAAGAATGAATATTATCAGCAAACGTCCGGTTGCGCAATGGGATCTCCGATTAGTGCCACAATAGCCAATCTCGTTATGGAACACATAGAAGAAATTGCTTTAACAACTGCTCTCAACCAACCCCGTTGGTGCAGGGGCGGATCTAGGGGTCGTCAAACCAGTCACGCGACTAACGTAAAAATTGCAAACTTAATTAAAGTCTTAAATATTCGACCAATAGTCCAGTTATTTTTTATCATGCAGCGACACCTTATAATAGTCCAGTAACTATTATCATGCAGCGCTAGCAATTAACATTCCAATCGAACTGTAGTCCAGTAATCAAATTTCATACAGTGGTTGAGCCGACGAGCTCAGTCAAGTCAATGAGCAGCTGACATACGCAAAGTCGGTCAGTCAAAAAGTCAAAATCTAGTGTTCTGATTGGTCTAGACGCTTATTGCCATGAAAACAAGCGATTTTTTGCGATTTTGACTGATCGATCTGTGGGGAGTTTTGACCGATTTACAAAAGTCAGGGGCACTTCATTAGTCGGAATATCATTAATACTTGACGCGTGGTAAAGTCTTTCCCAGCGCGCGCTCATTCGAAGTGTCATGTTGTAGCTTTGTCAAAAATTTAAAGATATTTACGGAAAATTCGGAAATGTCTACTGCTCCAGTCCTTGTAGTATTCACGAAACGGTTCAATCCACATTTGCGGTGAATGATTTAGCCGTCTTACAAGACTGTTGCACTGATATTGGGAGGAAAATCAACGCTAAGTATCGGAGAGTTCCATTCAGTGAGCAGTTGCTAAGCGGCGTAAGCGCCACGAATAACACGAACTACAGTTTGACTGTTTGATTAGAAGTATTGGCGCCGAGATCTTTATTCTGAAGTGCAATAAGGCAAATTTAATGTGATATGTAAATTTTATTTCGTTTTAGACAGCATAACAATATTTATAAGCGAACAAGATGCGCGCCATGCATATGTAAAATTGTAACTTGAATACGCGTATCTTGATTTAGATTTAGCTATGAATTTTGATTTACACAACAAATTTGCATATTTGTAATTCTGCGGTTGAAGGGCCGTCAGAACTCAGAAGGCTATTATTAATAGCCTATTAATATGGAGAATAACCTATATAAATGCATTAATGCAGTATACATAGGATATAAAGGTCAGGTTTTATAGATGAATGTTAAGACTTTAATATTGATATATGTTTATTTGAGTAATATGACACTGTAGTGATTACTAGTCAAGTGATCAATGACTCAAGGCTAAAATATTAGGCAACAAAAATGAGTGTAGTACTATCATGAGATAGTTAAACATAATACTAGCAATCTATAATTTGATAAAATGAAACATCTTCCACAATTATCACATTTCTGCAAGTACTTCTCCTTTATTTTTCCCCAAGGAGCGAGTTGTGAGAGTTAGTCAGACTGATAGTTACTATAATTATCTTCCATTTCATAATTAAAAGTTAATTTTTTGTTGAAGCTGCTTTCAGAGTGATGCAAATTGCGTTTCTGAGGTTTAAAAATATAAAAATTCCTGGAAGACAGACCCCCCTAGGTGCCTCGCACGTACGAAAAATCCTGGATCCGCCCCTGCGTTGGTGGTTCAGGTTTGTTGATGATAGGCATGTTTGCCTAAAACGTAAATATGTAGAGGAGTTTCATCAGCATTTAAATTCAATAGACAAAGAAATCCAATTCACCATTGAAGCGGAAGAAAATAATAGATTACCATTCTTGGATACGGTAACAATTAGGGAAAATGGTCAAATTAGGGTTGATGTTTACCGTAAAAAGACGCATACGGACAAATACCTGGATTACACGTCAAATCACCCTCCACAACACAAGCGGTCTGTAGTTAATACTTTACTCGATAGGGCAGAGAAAATACTCTCAACCAACCGGGGAAAACGTAGAGAGAGAAAACATGTTCTAAAGGTCCTAAGAGATAACGGTTACCCCTTACAATTCATAAAAGCTGTAATAACAGGAGGCGATACAAAAACAAGGAATTCAATAGTTCGCATGAAAATGTGAATGCAACACAAAAATCAACAGTTTCACCTAGTTATGTTGTTCTACCATATATAAAGGGCGTTACAGAAAGAATTACAAGAACATTAGAACGTGAGAAAATTCGTGTTTCATTCCAACCAACTCGCACATTACAGCAAGAATTTCCAAAGCCAAAAGATAAGCTAGACACCAACCGTACAAGGGACATCGTTCATACAATTGAATGTTCTGCTTGCGATTTTACTTATTATGGTCAAACCAACCGAGCATTGAAAGCAAGAATAAAAGAACATAAAAGAGCTGTTGATGACCAAATGTTAGCCAGTGCATGCAAAATATGGATAAAGCTGTAAAATTGACAAACAATAAAATAATGTAAGAATTATTCAGGAATATCTTAAGTCGTGGTTCTTTTACGCTTTTTCTTACTGCAAGCGAAATGTATTTTGTTAAGTAACTCTGCGAGTTTTCAACATTTTTCGTCCAAACTTGGTCAGATAGTAGAACTGGTCTAATGCTTTCGTGCAAGAGTTTCGAATTCGATCTCATGCTATAAGACGATGAAGGTTTGGTAGTTATAAGCTCAGAGATATATTCAGGTGCCAATCCATGACGTGCTTTAAAAACAATTAGTAGAATTTTGAAATCTATTCTAAACTTTACTGGAAGTCAATGTAAATCCTTCAGAGTTGGACTTATATGATGAAACCGTGAGACGTTACATATTAAGTATGTTGTTTAGCACACATAAAGGTGTGTTTTGTAACCTACTATTGCGTGCTAAATAATACACCTTAAATAACGCACGTAACAAGAACACACTGTTGTGTGTTTTAAACCCACTACTGTGTGCTAAAGAACACATTTTTCAATAACACACGTAAAATGTGTTAATTTTCGGATGAGCCATAAACACGCCGTAAGGTGTGTTATCTAACATATTAGTGTGTTATATAACCCGTGTTAATTTCTGGACAAAATAAGTATGTTATTTAACACACTTATTTTTTAGAGCGAAACCTTTCCGGATAGGAAAACGGGGCAAACTAAATTTTCATTTTTTATAGAAATCAAATACACGTTTGAATTGGATGCGGAAACAACTCCAAGAACATTTAAACTCGTGTTTCTTCTTGACGGTGGAAAAAAATTATATGAAACTACAGCTAAGTTCAATCTGACTGGCAAGAATAACACTACGTGTGTGGATTTCTCCCAGATTCACGTAGAGGTGTGTTCGCATGTGTGATTTACAGGTTTTCACTTATTTTCGGGCAGCACGGTCAGCTGCAGTTATCAAAATTCTTTTCATTATACCCAATATTCTTGTACTTGGCCGCAAATCAATGGAATTGAGAGATGAATGAGAGATGTAGAATGAAATGAATGTTGATGATGAATTGAGATGTAGTTTCGTATTAACTGCTCCGATATAATTGTCAACATTCCTGAAACATGTGCTGCCCTCCAACACAACGCAAACTGAAAACCACGTATGGTTTTTAAAAAGCACACAAGTAAAAACGTACAAGTTTTAACAAACGTTCAACAGACTTGTAGCAATGTTGTTCCAAAATTTCTCATCAGGATGTGTTCGCACTGCTTTTTGCAAGTTGTTCCTCATTAGGATGTGTTCAACAGACTTGTTGCAAGTTGTTCCAACAACTTGTTATCCGTCCTGCAATTCAATAATTTGCCAACTAGTCTAGGACATGTATATGAGTTTGTATGCATTTCATTTGGGACAGATAATCTTTACTGTTTTAGGCCAAGTTGACCATGACGGTCAACATGGTAACGCTGCCCGAATCCCAATCCGGGACGAAACGTCCGAAAATGGGCACACTCAAAAACGACGCTTTCGCCATAGTGCTATCTACCAAACCATAAAAGCTTTGTCTATTCTAAGGTGCTTATATGGTTCAGAGATGGTACTTTTAGGGGTGGTCATTGGTAAGTGTGAAATGCCTAGCACTGATATTTCACAAGAAATATCATATAGCTCTATAGAACTTAACCTTTGTTGTAAATAACACGCAATTCAGTCATTGTAGACTACAATGTGTTTCTTCTTAATAAACCTATCTATCTACCTATCTATCTATCTAATCATATCTCGTCAATATGTGGCTTGCAACTTCAGATAAACAGCAGTGGACCTACATTACCTTTTTCCCTAAATCTTTTTGATAGAAACGTAATTGGTACTTATTTAAGTATATTATCACTGTTTTGGTGTAAAATAGTTAATATTTTGTGACCGAAATAATAATTTGAATTCTATCTACCTCCTGCAAATGGACGTATTTGGCCAAATTCGCCACTTTACTTTGCTGTTTCTTTGCGATCTAGTTGAAATCCTTCCAAATATACGGATTCAGCTCAAACATAGTGGTATCAAGCACATTTTAAACAAGTTTTAACTGGGTTTCAAGCAGGTCCTACCTGTTTAATTAACCATCGAGAAGGTAAAACCTCAACTTTGTCCAAATTCTGTACCATTTTGTCATCCCGTGTCTGTTGTCTTCCATCCAAGCCATTTCGATGGTACTCATACCAAATTTAACCCTTTGGGGTTAAATTTAAGGGTATCAAGAAAAACTATTAACAAAAGATACGAAATGCAGCGTTTTATCACCCTGTAAAATGTTGCTTACGAGTCTTTCAAACATTCCGTACAAATCTCGCGTGGCAAAGTAACAGGGATATGACAGGGGGTAGAGACGTTAAAGATTAAAGCAAAGGCACGTCAAAGACTCGTAAGCAATATTTTACCAGGTGATAAAATGCTGCATTTGGTATCTTTTGTTAATATTTTTATCTTGGTACCCTTAATAAAGGGTTATATTTGTTGTTGGTGCAATCGAAATGGCTTGGATGGAAGAATAACAAGGCCGAATTGTTGACAACATGACAAAATGGCGCCGAATTGGGACAAAGTTGAAGTTTTACCTTGTCGATGGTTAAACAGGTAGGATCTGCTTGAAACCCAGTTAAAACTTGTTTAAAATGTGCTTGCATGATATCACTATGTTTGAGCTGAATCCGGATATTTGGAAGGATTTTAACTAGATCGGCGAGAAACAGCGGAGTAAAGTGGCGAATTTGGCCAAATACGTCCATTTGCAGGAGGTAGAGAGTAATTATTTTTATTATTTCGCTGACAAAATATTAACTATTTTACACCAAAACAGTGATAATATACTTAAATAAGTACCAATTACGTTTCTATCAAAACGATTTAGGAAAAAAGGTAATATAGGTCCACTGCTGTTTATGTGAAGTTGCAAGCCACAAGTTGACGTCTGACTATGATTATTGCATAGTCATTTTCTTGCGAAATATCAGTGCTAGGCATTTCACACTTACCAATGACCATGCACCCCTAAAAGTGCCATCTCTGAACCATATAGGCACCTCAGAATAGCCAAAGCTTTTATGGTTTGGTAGATAGCACTATGGCGAAAGCAAGGATAGTAACTTTTGAAGATATTGTTTGCACCTGTCTTTCTTGCTATGTAACATTAAATCATTTATATCGTTTCCGTTACTAAATGAAATCGTTAAACATACTGATTCGTTTTCCATGAAGGTGGCTTTGACTTTTCAGCCTGATCGAAGCAGCTTGTGGTCATACTGTGAAAGTTGAATTACATTCAAGTTTCTTGGCGTATATGCCCGTCTAGTGCACCCTTCCGGAAAGTAGTCAGCCTTGCCTATAGAGCCTCGTTTTCTTGTTACAGATGGACATATTTATGAAATCATACAAAATTGTGCCATCAATAACAATATAAAAGTCTCTAAAGCCGATATCTTAATCCCGAAAACGAGGCTCTATAATAGCCTCCAGAAGGGTGTATTGTTCATGTGATTCGAGTAGGTCCCTCGTTCCGCCAATATAATGGCAGATGGCCATTGACATATTGTATTCTTGTTCCAGGACAAAAACAGGTTGACGGACGCCCTAAGCCGGGGAACGGCGGACATTGTTTTTAATTTGAAGTACGAACTCAATTCACCACCAGAATGTGAGAAGACGGCTTTGTGTCCAGTGCTTGACCAAAGTAAAAATCCTTCGGTCAGTCAAAAGGTATGCTATGTCTGGATGGCAGGTATCGTCCGCAAACTTTTGCATGCACTTAAACCGCGGAAAGGACACCTCCCTGTTCGTGCAGTGAGCCCGTATTGACAAGACAATATTGCAAGTCTTTATAAATATATTAACAAGCATTCGTTGGAAAGGATGAAACTACCTGAAAAATATAACGAGAATTTCGACATTTCGAGCGAAGGCCCTTCGTTTGGAGTTACTACGTTAGAAATATACCCTTTTACTCATGCCGTCACCCCGAGACTGGAGAGATTCGACTACGGCCACCTTAACTCGATTTTTGTGACTATTACCGCCACCTTAACTTAATTTTTGTGATTATTTCCAGGCTACGCTTGTTTTGAATTGTTCTGACAACACGTGTGATTATAATCTGAAAGTGAAGATAACGTAATTATTATCATTTTATTAAAATTTATTAACTTTTGCACAAATTGAAGATGCGGTACGGACCGTTTTGTGCATGCGTACATTGGAGTTCAATAATGCCTGATGGTGCTAACTAACGGGAAAACGTCTGCGCATGCGCGTGTACAATAAAATGGGGATGAATTTAAATGCCATATTGTAAACAAAACGTTTTATACAATAAATTTATCGACAGTCACCTTCGGTTCATTTTCCTGCATGATACGACTTCTTGGACATGTATGTATACTGTAATTATTTCTAGTTTTTGGTTGTCACATTCATTATTCCTCTCGCACTTTAACAGAAAAGGCAAAACATCGAAGTCGCTTCCATTTTGAGTTTTTGACAACCTTCGGAACACTCGACAACACGTTCGCAAGGCAAATTTCAGTAAAGGTGACGCATGCGCAGACGTTTCTCCGCGGTGTTGCAAAATATATCTTCTTTTATATGAAATTCATCATTTGAATACACAACAAAGCTGGAACTTTGCAAATGCACTGTACCGCATCTTTAAATGTATTCCCCTTGATATGCGTATATTTTGTGTTCGCACTGCTTGTTCCCAGTTGTTGTAGCAAGTTTGGAACAAGTTGTTACCATCTTGTAACAATTTAGATAGAACGTTCAATAAATAAAGTATGGAACAACTTGTAACAACCTTGTCGATATTATCAGACTTGTTGCAAGGTTGTTCCAACAAATCTGATAAACAATCATGATATAACAATATTGTAAATTACAAGATTGTGTCGTCAATCTTGTAACATTCTTGTTATACCATGACTGTATACAGCTATTTCAATTCAGGTTGTACGAGTGCAATTTCATTCATTTTTTAGCGAATCCCAGCAAGCCTTTCACACACTAATTCGACTTTTCCGCTTTGGTCGGGGACAACCGAAATTGAAATAGCTGTATACAGTCATGATATAACAAGAACGTTACAAGGTTGACGACACAATCTTGTAACAATATTGTTATATCATATTGTTTATCAGATTTGTTGGAACAACCTTGCAACAAGTCTGATAATATCGACAAGGTTGTTACAAGTTGTTCCATAGTTTATTAATTGAACGGACTTAAACATTTATATATTTCTACCAGTTTTTGGCTATCAGTCTATAGCGAACACAACTTATTGACAGCTTGTTGGCATATTTCGCTACAAGATATGACATTATCCGCTTGTACATGATATGCACTATATTTTGGGCTCCACGCAGTGTCGTGTCAGTATTCTATCACAGGCCTGAACTACTCGAAAAAGAAACACTTCAAAGAGATCAGCATATTCGCTCGAAGACTTTCAACCTGTTCCAACGTCGGCAACTTTATATATACAGCTATTTCAATTAAGGTTGTCCCCGAGCAAAGCAGAAAAGTCGAATACGAGCGCGAAAGGCTGCTGGGAATCGCTTAGCCTGCG